TCCCTTCTGTTTCTGGGACCTGTGATGTTCTCTGTGTTTCTGCTTATATGCGATTCGGAGTTGATTGGTCTAGAATGCACAATATCCCCTTCTAATTAAATGACTTTGAGTAAGAGCAGACAGGCTCTGAGTTAGACTGGCTGTGCTGGCTAGTTTTATCTCAACTTGACACATGCTTTAGCCGCTTTGAAATAGGGAGCCTCAGCTGAGAAAATGTGCTCACTGCATTGCTCTATGGGCAATCCTATGGTGCATTTTCATGGTTGATGATTGATGTCGGAGAACCCAGGTCACTGTGCCTGGGGAGGTGGTCCTGGGGACAGTAATGAAGCAGGATGAACAAGCCAATGAGCAGTCCTTCTTCATAGCTTCTGCTTCAGTTCCTGCCCTGAGTTCCTGCTCTGATTTCCTGGATGGTAGACTGCAAATGGTAAGCTGAAACAAAGCCCTTCCTTTCCAAGTTGCTAATAGAAGCCCTAACTAAGACAGAATTGGGAGCAGGTTTGGGGATATTGTTGTGACGGACCTGACCTGTGCTTTGGGGAGAACTGTGACAGCGTTTGAAATTTAGACTGGAAGAATTGTTGAACGCTCAGAGAGCAGTGTGCTGTTCTGTGGGAGACAGGAAGATAAAACTGTTGAAAGAAATCTAGATGATGGAGGTGTGCCTTGTGAAGTTTCAGAGAGACGTTCTTAAGAGTCTCTTAAGGACCCTATTGGGGTTATTCAGTACTTTGAATCTGTGGTTATCTGTGGTCAATTGGAGCTGAGGAGTCAGTTGTGATGAGCAAGAGACCAGTACCACTGAAGGAAGAGCTTTGCTGGGATGGTTGATGCTAGTTAGCTGGGGCTGAGAAGTTAGCAGTGATTCAGAAGAAGCTAGTGTCACTGAGGATCATAAATTTAAAAGATGCTTGCTCAGGCTCCGAATACAGAATCTGTGGTCCGGAGGGGGGCCAATGTTGTACCTCATCTTGGCAGCCAAACTTGGTAGTGTAAGAGTCACTCAGATGGTATTGATTTTGAAGGCACGAAAGAGTCATAGAGAGCAGCTGAGGTTTGGCACTGTTGTTGGGCTGAGGTCCTTGAGGAGCGGCTGGAGAGAGGCCACAGGCGAAGGTGCAGCCTCAGTTGCAATAGAAAGCCCAGGATTGAAGGGGGTCAGGGAGACATTGAGGCTTGGTACTGTGTGGCAGTCAGGGTCCCTAAAGAGAGGCTATTGGTGAAGGCACAGCCCAGTTGTATTGCAGACCCCAACATTTTGGAGATGCTAGTACCATGGATGACCACCCAAGGACAGCAGTAGCTATGGAGTAGAAACTCCCTGAACCCAGAATACTGTGGGTGCTGTGAATGGCAGAGCCAGAGAAGTCCACACCCTTTGGAGGAGCCCAGAAGATAATGAATGAATCTCAGACATGGGACACTAAGTTGCTTACACTGTTGGAGTTTAGTTTTGCTTTGTTCAGATTGTGACTGTGCCCTGGTTCTTCCCTCTTGGAGTAAGAAAGCGTGTAGCTTATTTTTTATTTTACAGGAGCCCACAGTTGAGAAACTTAATTTTTAAGAAGACTTTGGAGTTTTAGAGAGACTTTGGATATTTTAGAAACTTGAATATTTTGGTGAGGCTTTTAACATTGGAAGAAACTTTGAGTGTTTTAAAGAGACCGAATTTCTAAAAACTATGGAAATTTTAAAGTTTGGAATATGTTTTATATTGTAATATTGATATTACTATGATACGCTGGGAACAGCAAGAAAGGAAAGGCTATGGTTTGAGCCATGTGTTTATGTGTCAAATTGACAAGTGGTCAATTGTACTGGCTAGTTTTATGTCAACTTGACATAAGCTAGAGTCGTTTTGGAAAAGGGGCCTCAACTGAGAAAATGCCCTCACTAGATTGCCCCGTGGGCAGCCTGTTGGGCATTTTCTTGATTGGTTTTTGATGTGGGAGGACCCAGCTCACTGTGGGTGGTGCCATCATGACTGGAAAGGTGGTCTTGGGTGCTCTAAGGAAGCAGGCAGAACAGACTTGGGAGAAGCAGAACAATCAACACCACTCCTCCATGGCTCCTGCTTCAGTTTCTGCCTCCAGGATCCTGTCTTGAGTTCCTGCCCTGACTTCCGTGGTTCATGGACTACAGACTGTAAGATGAAATAATCCCTTTCCTCCCCAAGTTACTTTTGGTTATGGTGTTTTATCACAGCAATAGAACCCTAACTAATACACTGGCTTCTGATGAGTAGAAAAGAGACTGTTTGACAGTGTGTTTTTGTCAAACTTGTGCAGAGCTTGCTGATCTTCCTTTACTGTTCCTAGGACCATGATAGTGAACTTAGATTGTTCATGAGCCAACACCAGCATAGCAAGTGGGAAGTCTTCTGAAGCCCAGAGGAGGAGCCCTCTGTAGAAGACATGTAGGCTGTGATTAGAGGAGACCCCCTTCCTGTGTTCATCTTAGCTCCCAGTGTTCTCATTTAATGCCTTTTGAAGGATGGGCATTGGTATAGCTCTGTAGTAGATGAGTGGGAGGCCATCTTGACAGTTTGGGGCTGGGCTCTAACTGAATCTACTGCAGGGATATTGATGTATGATCTTTTTTTTTCTTTGAAATAATTGATGGCATGAGCCCGTTCACGAAAAAGGCAAGTGAAAACACTCCCAGCACATTCTCCATAGGCTGCCACTTAGTACTATTTATCATAATAAATGGATGTGACCAAGTATTTTTCTCTTTTATTTAAACAACTTCCCATAGTAAAGTGCTCTTTCCAAATCAGATTCCCTGATAAAGAGCTAGGTTGAAATTATTGCCAACATCTGACAGGGGGGTAGGATTCTTTTGACTTATTAAGTGAACAAGTAGATGCTTGGGATAGCTGAATTCTAAGGAGATGTTGGATTGGCTCCAGCAGGGCATGAATCGGGATGAACGTTCATAGGAGGAATGTTTGTAAGACATATAATTTTGACAAAAACTGGATGAAGCATAGAGACATTCTTGCCCCAGGAAGTTCATGAACTGACCTCGGATGAAACACTCAGCATGTGTTATTTCATTTTGTAATCACAGCAAGCACAAAGGCATGAGTGTCCTGGAGAAGAAGTGGCCACGGCCTTCTGTAGCTTTTCATCAAGCTGTGGAATCTGTTTCCCAACCCCTCGGGGTTTTCCTAGTAAATAGGATGTGGCAGAGGGGATTTTGTGCAAGCTCCAGGTCCTGATTTACTAGAGCCCCCGCTCCCCTGCCTCATGGAATGCTGTAGAAGGAAACCAGGCTAGACTTCTGAATGATAAAAGGCCTATGGAAAGGAAGGTCCATACACCAGCCACTCGTGTGAGGCCGTCTTAACACCTGCCGGACCCAGCCTAGCCAGCAAATGCCTAAAGACATGAACTGGAGCAAGGGTTGGAGTTGAGTCTGATAGGGAGGATGATGAAGAAGGAAAGAGTGGTTGTTTGAAGCCACTGAGTTTTGTGGTGACATGTCACACAACAATAGATCCTTGGATAGAAGAGCATAACATCAGCACGTTTAGTCAACTTGCCCAAGGTGTGAAGAAGTAGGCAGTAATCATGGTTGGAACGTGAGCCTTTTGACTTCCAATGCTTTGCTTATCAATATCAAAACTACTCTACTTCAATGTAAAAGTCCCAAATTGCTGGAAATGTTCAGATTTTATTTGAAGGCCCAATCTCCTATAAATGGATGATGGTAAAGAGGAAAAAAACATTGCCTAGGACTTACCTTTCTGTCTCTACTCACCAACAAATGTTTCCCAAGGCACTTTAGAGAATGTGCCACCTGCCCTTTCGCGTCTGGTATTTCCAGAACACAGCTGTAAAAATTCTCACATCTCAAGGCCCATGGCTCCCTGTACATATGGACAGGCTTTGCCTTTCCTGAAAAAATGTGCCCACTTTAAAAAAAAAAAAAAAAAAGATTTCCCAGGGAGCCAGTTCCCTGTGAAGGCAATGTCCTGAAGCGTATGAATTCTTAGGTGAGGTTGAGGCCTTTTCTGAAGACCTATTCTGCCAGCTGGACACGAGCCTAGGAACCTTCTATGAAAGGCCAATGTCTCTTAAACTCTGAAAGCTTTATGGTGTGTCATAGCTAGTCAACTCCGAATTGTAGCTCCTCGGACACAGGCGGTAAGTCAACAAACAAGCGTGGCTATGTCCCAGTAGACCTTATTTGTGAAGATCAGCTGTGGAGCCCATTCTGCTTTAACCAACGCCTGCATTAGAGGAGGAAGCCATGTGCTCCAGAGCTTGTGCCTGTGCTGGCCTGACATCTAGAGGAGTGAACGGGCCACACAACTTGTAGCTTGTGCTGTGTGCTCAAGCTACCATGTTATGGCTCAGGAAATGGCTTCAACCAGCCACCACATACTCATTTGCTTATCGTTCTCTACTAGAGCTTAGCTCACTCATGCTCACCAGTGTGGGTCATTACAGCCAGCATTTACAGAAATAATCCTTCCAGTAGCGCCATTGTTTGTTGGGCTGCAGGCAAAGCAAGTCAGCAGGCAGGGGCATGACAGATGGCCTTCTGGCCAAGGTTAAGTGTCCAAGGTTGTCCTGGGCAGACGGCTGAATCTCAGCTGACTTTTCTGGGCAGTGAGGAGGGTAATAAGTAGCAGACACAACGAAATGGGTGGGCTGTGGATGCCAACCTCATGTCCTCTTTATGCCTCGTTCCCGAGAGAAGTCAACTCCAGGACTATTATCACCCTTTGTGGGGAGCAGCTGTAGACGATTCAAGTGAATTTGTGCCAGGAAGTTTGGGAACAAGCTGATTGCCTGCCTGAGCCCTGGCTCTCTACCCACACCGTGGATGGCAGGACCTCCATAAATATCGTCCTACAGTCTGTTTTGGAATCTCCCTCATGACAGGCAGTGAGATGATAATTGGAGGCGGCAAGAGCTGCTTGGAATATGGTGCCTGCTGTTCCCTCAGGGGTTACTGCCTGATCAATAGAGGTTCCTTCTTGAGCCCAGGCTCACCAGATGGAGTTTGTTTGTAAAAATCAGCCTCAATCAGTGAGATCAGATATTACATGCTTGTAATTCAGTTTGCTTTTTGGAACTGTCTCTCGAAGCCTTCAGTGGGGCGGCCATTAGGCATTTGCTCCTTCAAGTTGGAGCTTGATTTATTTTGCTGGAACCCTTTTGGAGATGGCAGAGTAACAAAAACAAGAACAGTTTTTAAACTAAAATCTACATCCAGCGTGATGGATTGCTTTCACCAGCGTTCACTGCTAGGGTGCTGCCATGTTTGACTCACACGCCGCTATTTGTAAGCGCGGATTAATTTTAAACATCCCACGTAAAGCGCAGGGTGGTCTGCAGTTCCGTGTGGCATGAAGAGCCTCGCAGTGTGAAGTGTGTTTCTTTGGAAACAAATTTAGCTTGAAGGACTTTCTGCAAATGCCTGGTCTCACTTACGGCTGCAGCAAGTGAGTATCTCTATGTGGGGTTGACCATATGGCTCCCCAGGCTTCTCTGTCGTGTGCAATTGTTCTGTGTCAATCAGGACGAGTCCGGGAACTTAAGTCCTACAGTCTCTATCCACTTTCTTCTCTCTTTCTTTCTCCTCCTCCTCTTCTTCTTCTTCTTCCTCCTCCTGTTTCTCCTCTTCCTCTCCTTCCTCCTCAGATGTGTAACCCGTGGGCCATCGGTGCTTTTAATGGGCTATTTACCATCGTATGTCATCTGTTTTGGATGCTAATTTAAGTTTCTCTCTTTGTATGGCTGTTGGTGCTATAATCAGAATCACTGCCCCCCACTTAGGGCCAGTTTTCTCATTGGTGCTGACATCTTGAAAACCAAGGCCCTCCTCTGTCACCCAGATCAGCTTACTTTCCTACTTTTAAACTCTGCTGTGATCTCTGCCCTTCTCTCCAGTATAAACTTTAACTTGAAATCTAGGGCTTCTCTGTCCTACTTGTATATCACCCCCAAACACACACACACACACACACACACACACACACACACACACACACACACACACACACACACACACATCATTCCTACCACTACCACCGCCACAACCATGACCATTTAACATCTCCAGTCCCTTTCAGCTCTCCTCTGGTTCTCCTCTGGAGGAAGACATGTGGTGTTTAGTTTCCACGTGAACCTGACCCACTTAGAACACCACGTTAGGAGATAGTGAGGTGCTCTTCTTGTGTGACCATGACAGTGTTTTTCGGAGTGTATCAATTGAGCATCCCACCCCGAATGTAGGTGGGCAGCTTCTCACGGACGGGCTCCGTGTGAATGAACTAGAATCGGAGGAAGGATGACGGCACCCAACAGGCATTGCTTTCTGCTTCCTAGCCTGCCATGATGTGACTGAGCGGCTCCTCCAGGCCTCCCCACCTGTCCTGGGCCCTGTGACGCATGAGTCCTAACAACACTCCCTCTAAGTTGTTTCTGTCTGGTGTTTGACCACAGCTGTGGACAGCTTACCATCTCTCTGCTTCTTTCATTTCCCTCCTCTACCCCCCCCCCACATTGTAGTGTGGCGTTCGACTCCATCTCCTCCAACTCTCTTAGCTTCTGTTCAGATCCTCATGGTCTCTTTCCCACCAGATAGATTTGTTCAGGTTTTGAGGAGGTCTTGAGTGTCTCTATGTTCTCTCCTGCTCTAATAGGAGCACATGGCTGGCTCTAGCCAAGAATTTCGTGGAAGCCATATTCCTTCACTGTCACTTCTATGTGGCAATTGTATCCAAACTCCCACTGCTGTCCCTTGCCCATCTGTCCACTTGAACATCACTATCTCCAGTCCAACCTACTTTGCTGTTTGAATGGCTTCTCATTTGTCTTCTATGTAAGGCCTACAGTGTCTGGTCTCGTTGGCTGCCTATGGAACATGGACAAGCATTCTCTGTGCTAGGTTGTAATCCAAGAGATATTGAGACAACATGCAGCTACAGAACAACAGCACATACCACCACAGAAGTCTTTCCCTTTCTTCCCCTGGCCCTGGGAACTTTAGGAGCTGGGCTTTGTGTCTGCTGGCCATCTCAGAACTTGTGCTGATCTCTCCCTTCCCAGAACACCATTCCTAACTTGACTGTGGCCTGAGGAGCCTTTGGGCTATGCTGATCACAGACACCAAACAGCCATAGGTTTTCTTGTGGTCACAGGCACCCAAGTTGCGGCTGCTTGTCGTCTATGCTTAGATGGATACTGTGAGTCCCTGGCCTTGCCTTGGAGTATATCCTCCAAAAAGAACAGCCATGGCACTGGAAATTGTGAGTAACATTTTAATGACCATGTGCATCTGGCTGTGAATGAGTACGGAACTGGGGTTTCTGTTCTACTCCCGAGGCAGGCAACCTCAGTTTCCCACTTTGGTCTCATTTGCTCTTCATGTGTCTCAGAGGTGAGAGTAGAGACGATTAGCTGACAACCATTAGGACATTACATACCAACTAAAACATTGGCTGGAGATTACAAAGGACTGACCAGTGAGTTAACTGACCATGTTCCTTCAAGACCAGGAGAGCTGATTTTAGATACACAGACATATATCACACATACATAGACACACCCACAAACAGACACATACACAGAAACACATCACATATACAGACACATCACACACTCACACACACACAAACAGACACATACACATAAACACACACACAGACACATACACAGAGAGACACAGATACACACACATACACACCCACACACTCACACACACACACACCCAGAGACACATACACAGAGACACACACACAAACACATACACAGACAGATATATACACACAAAGACACATCACACACACACACACACACACACACACACACACACACACATACTACCCCAATAAAAAGCCATTCCTTGGCTTACCCCCCCCCACACACACACACTACCCCAATAAAAAGCCATTTCTTGGCTTACCCCACTTTTGGTCAGCAGAACCTCTAGGCACTGTCATGTGTCCCTGTGGGAAATTCTCAAATCTACATATGCACCCACCACACACACACTCTTGTGGACTTGGCTAACCTCTTTGCCCTCAGCATTTCACCTGGGACTTGTCTGTAGGTGGGAAGGTCTCCAAGAGAGGAAAAGAGTATATGTTTAGCGTCAGGAACCATCTAGACTGTTGGAAGGATAGCAGCCTTCCCAAAGGTATGCACTCTAAGAGATGAGAACAAATGGCCACCTCCCCAGTTCTGAGATCCTTCTATGGACAAGGGTGTGCATTGGAGCGTGGAGCTTGCAAGGCTGACACATGCCAAGCCTCTTAATGGTAAACGTGATGTGATTGATTTCTGAATCTGCAATGGGATCTAGCTTTAGTTTGAGTGTCTCTGTGCATGGGTCCTGCTTCCCAGAGTTTACTTGGGTAGATTGCTCACCCAGCTTCTCCTCCTCAGGAAACTGGAGTCAGAGTGTCACAGGCAGAGTGGTCAAAGGAGGCAGATAAGCACCAAAACTAAGATTTTTATTGCTATGACTTTCAAAAGGTCAGAAAGCGACTCCCCCTCCCCCCCCCCCCCTTGCCAAGTTTCAGGTCTCAAAACTACCCTGTGTCCTGCAGAGCTATGTAAGCTGTGGGCTAGGCTGGATGAGGTTCCTTATCTCAGGTGAAAGTTCCTGAGATGTCTAGCTGCTGTTTGGTTTTGTTTAATTTTGTTTTCAGGTAACCCAGGGCTCACGCATCTTCCCCAAGTCCTTCTGATTCTGTGTGGAAATTTCACCTTTCCTCCCTCCCTCCCTGCCTCCCTCCCCTTTTCCCAACATCAACCCTACTTGTTCCACATTAACACCCTCCTGGAATACTTCTCCTTTGGAACTTCACAGTACTTGATTAATAGCCTTACTCCCTTCTCTTAATTGATGTTACTCACAGGTTAATCTTTCTAACAGATCTCACGGACAGCTCCGGGCTAATTAAGGTCACCCTCTTTAATCTGGTGTTAGATGCCTCCTTCAGCTGGGTCCCCAGTGACCTTTATGACAGCTTGCTGTTACACACACACACACACACACACACACACACACACACACACACACACACACACACCTTCCCTCTTGCTTTCTTTTCCTAATGGTTTGCATATGCACCAGCTTTACATCCAAATTCCTTTACCTTGTGGGTTCAACCAGCATGCCAATCCCTCCCACATTTGAACTTCCATTTCTGACCTTGAGTTATGACTGTGATCACATCTTTGTTCATGTGGAATGTCAACTATCCATGGCTAATGACTGTGTGTTAGGGCTTTATGTGACTGACTTTCCCAAGATGAGCATTTTTGCTTAGGGTGGTGGTGGCAGCGGTGGTTGGAAAGAGCATCATGTAGCTCAGAATGCTCTCAAACTTGCTGTGTGTTGAGGATGGCCTTTAATTCCTGACCCTTAAGCTTCAGCTTCTTAAAATGTTGTAATTACCATCCCGTTCCCTATGTTCTCATTCCCCATCCCCTACCCTCCATTGCCCCTGCTCATCCCCAGTTTACTCATGGAGATCTCATCTATTTCCCCTTCTCAGGGTGATCCATGCATCCCGCTTAGGGTCCTCCTTGTTATTTAGCTTCTCTGGAACTGTGGGTCATAGTCTGGTTTATCCTTTGCTTTACATCTAGTATCCACTTATGAGTGAGTACATACCATGCTTGTCCTTCTGAGTCTGGGTTACCTCACTCAGGATGATATTTTCTAGTTCCATCCATTTGCCTGCAAATTTCATAATGTCATTGTTTCTTACAGCTGAATAGTACTCCATTGTATATATGTACCACATTACAATGAAAGAGATATCTTGATAGAGGGAGACATCACAGGGATAGGGAGAAACCTGGTGCTAGGGAAGTTTCCAGAAATCTACAAGGATGACCCCATCTTAGACTACTAGCAATAGGAGAGAGGGTGCCTAAGATGGCTTACCCTGGTAATCAGATTGGTGAATATCCTAACTGTCATCATAGAGCCTTCATCCAGTAACTAATGGAAACAGATGCAGAGAGCCACGGCCAAGCACCAGTCTGAACTTCAGAAGTCCAGCTGAAGAGAGGGAAGAGGGATTCTATGAGCAAGGGGCATCAAGATCATTATGGGGAAATTTACAGATACAACCAAACCAAGCTAGTGGGAACTCATGAACTTTAGACCAACAACTGTGCAACCTGCATGGGACTGGCCCTCTGCATAGTGAGACACTTGTGTCGCTTGGTCTGTTTAAGGGTCCCCTAGCAGTAGGAACAGGATCTATCCCTGGTGCAGGAACTAGCTTTTTTGAGCCCATTACCTATGGTGGGATACCGTGAACAGCATGATACAGGGGGAGAGGCTTGGACCTGCCTCAACTGAATGTACCAGGCTTTGCTGACTCCCCATGGGAGGCTTTATCTTTTCAGAGGAGGGGATGGAGGGTGGGCTGAGCGGGGGAGACTGGGGGCAGTAGGAGGAGGCATGGGGGGATCTGTG